TTCGGAAAATTTATATTCCTAGTGTCAGATTTTATATTTTTCTCCCAGGGGGTGTCTTAAATCTTTCAAATTTACTCAATCAATAATTGTTAAAAATTGAGTGATTTAAAAGCAATTAATGTACTCATTGATAATTGAAATAATAAACATCTACTAAAGTTAATTTTTTCAGACTCTACAATATTCAGCGAGTATAGCAAAAACAGTTCATAGGATGTTTCAATTAAACGTTACAAAGATGCAGTTTCAAAAGAGAATGCCCCCCTTAAATTTAAAATGCTATGAAATGAATAGAATATCGTATATGTTAAATAATTAACACACTTTGGGAAATAGTTTCATAGCTGAGTTTATTTTACCGAGTTTTATTTGAAAAATCCTTTAGGTAGATTATTCCAAAGAAAGTTTTGGAAAGTTTCTTCTCTGATTAGTTAGTTTATCATATACACTGTTTAAGCACTTTAAACATTTTATAAGATGAATTTTCAGTTCATGACTTCAGGATTGATTAAATGGCTAAATAATCTACAATGTTCCATTCATTTTGTAACTAATTTTGTTGGACACGGAAGTAATTCTGAAACGCAATTTTGCTGCTTTAACATTTAAAAGCTGAAATATTTTTCAACTTTATAATGTTCAGACACGAAACATTTCCTGACCCTTTAAATGCGTTTCGAATCATGTAACCTTTCAATTATCAGAATTTCTTTTTAATTGCAATAAAAGTTGAGGCTGAGAAAGTAACAAGGAACAGTATTCGTATAAAATGAAGTCTGCGTGAGAGGAACTCACTTCCCTCTTAAAAAAGTACATGGATTTATAAATTGCTTAATTTAATTAGACTATTAATTAATTGGTTTCTATTTCTAATAAAATTACTTAATTGTCTAATTGGTTTCTATAATAGCACCAGTTGCATCTAATAGATTGAAGTAGAGGTACACAAATAACCGAATTCCAAGTGAAAAAACTGATAGCTAAGAGATTCTAATCATTGCACAAATACACTCCTTTTCAAAAAATAAGTAACAAAGCAAAATACGAAATTAAAGAAAAACGATTTAATGGATATATATGAAAATGGTCCAAGAGGTTGGTGCGGCATTACTAGATCACACTGCAAATAATAGAGCAAAGACATAAAAAACACGTGTATTAATACCATCACACCGCTAAAGACTAAATGGATCAGAAGAATCTGCAGTGAAACTATTTCTTTAATAATGGGCATGATACCCTCAAGCTTGAATTGTATGCTTGAGAACGGCGTGGCAAGCAGGCAATACTGCCGTTGATCGCTTATTGTGGCAGTAACACCCATTCCTGTAGTAATTCATGTTGGAGCTCTTGGAGGGTACCTGGAGGCACACTTGCGACTACTATCCGTCGTCCCAACATGGCCCACGTATAATATGGGATTCCGGTCCTGTGATCTTGCAGGCAGATGTGGAATGGTTTCACTCTCCAGACAACTCCGCAACACTGGAGCTCCATACGGCCAGGCATTTAGTCCATAAATATTGCGTCAGTACACATTGCAGCAATAAAAGGATGCACAAGAGGGTGTTGAATTTCATCACGATATCTGATGAAATGACATTATATATTCAATGAATTACTACCATGAATCACGTTGAGGTCGGTGCTGACATTCGTTTCTATCCCAGCCCTTACAAGTAAGCTTCCTACTTTGTAATGGTTTCTTTCGACGATGTTTGGCGTCTGATAGCGTGTCCCTGGTTCTCCTGATATCACTGCCCTCCGGGAATCTTTCTGGATATTAAATTGAGACTATCCGTAAATAGTACATGTCTCCACTGCTCTAGTGTCCAACTGCGATGTTTAGAGGGTCAATTCAAGCGAGTTCTGACATGCGATGAGAACAAATGAACACAAACCATAGGTCGTCGGGCTCACAGTCAATGCTACAGAGTTAGGCTTAATATGGGCCATTTTCCAGCTGCAGAGCGATGCGACGCCAGCCTGTTGTACTGTTAGTAATCTACGGCGTCTTGTACATAACAACAGGAAGAGATCGTCTGCGGTTCTCCGGCGTCCAGATCTTTCTTTGACTATCTCGTGCTTTCTACTTGTCTATCCGGCGTCCAGACTGTGCTGTTAGTAATCTACGGCGTCTTGTACATAACAAGAGGAAGCGATCGTCTGACGTTGTGTTAATTCTCCGGCGTCCAGACCCATGTCTTCTATAGGGGTTTTGATCGCTTTGGTAACGATTCCACAGTTTATTCATGACACTAGGATGCACATTCAGCTCACTCTGCCTCTCTTAACAGCGGATTGTATTTCACCAGCGGGCAACGTTCTAACCATCCTCCAATACATTTCAGCATGCAAAATGGTGTCTTCGACTCATTCTCTCTATTTTGTCTATCTCGGATACATGAAACAATAGCTGCTTGCGAACTGACGCATAGGTCTGTCATGTCTCCTTATGAGGCGTTGTGGTGTGATTGCGGAATGGACTTTTATACTAATTTTGGTTGCCTATTTGCATTCGGTGATGCAACTTCTGCCTTATACGTAATTTATATATTTTAATCCCCATTTTATACTCGTACCTTCTCTTAGAGAAAAGAAGACAAAAGAAAGTACATTTTAACGTAAAGTGATGCAAGCATACCTGCCTTTTAAATATCTCGTGAATTCTGTAACATTTCAATATATTTGCCTTTTTAATCTTCGAAGCATTCTTCTAGGGTTAACATAAAATTTTTACAAATGTCCTTCAGGAAGGCAGCTATTGAATTAATTCTATAAACGAATCAAATGAGGCTGATAAAAATTTAGTTTGAAATCATAAACCATACTAAGACCGTTTATAGAGTTCGTACAGATAGTTTCAAAATGTAAAAATATTCGCGAATAAATTATTGTGTGTTTTGTAACTACAGCGCATTTGAATTCTATCATTCTTAGTTGATTAATGAGAAGAATATCATTTTTCTCTTTCTGAAGAAATTTCATTTAATATTTTTTTTTCTTTTTCCGCATATGATTTGTGAAATCTAAGATACCTAACTCTTTTAAGATAAAGATTTATAATATTCTAACAAATTTATTAGAGCTATGTAAACGCATGTGTCTGTGAAACAGTACTTTAAACAGAGCAAACCGTAATATCCAATAACTTGAAATTTGCCAATACCTGTAAATAATACAGAGTATGTTTATCTGATAATGCGCTTATAAAGAAAAATTTTAAATTTTTGAAATGTATTTTATTCTTCTTTCATAGCCTTATTGCTTTCGTAAAAATTTTTAAAAATCAATACAGTAATAATTGCTTAAGTCATTTCTTAAACCATTTTTTTGATACTTCGATATCTTATATTATCAGATAAATTATTTTTAAAAATAAAATGTAACATTTAATGCACAGAGTAATTAAGCAAAGAATAAGGTAGTTGCTACATTCATCCTTCTATTTAGCTGCTGAGTATTTAGCTTTTGTTGATGAATATGAAAAGCTACTCTTAATAAAGCTTTCATATTTAGCAAAAAAAAAAAAAAAAAAAAAAAAAAAAAAAAAAAAAACGTATATATGTATTTTTCAAATTTCGGAAAGGACGAAGAGATTATCTAGCAATGGTGAAAGAAGTACATGGCGGAAACAAAAAGGAGAAAAGAAAACAAGTATATAAAAAAACCTTTATTCATTGGCGAAATAATAAGAAACATGTAACTAAAATAGAGGGGATAAAAGACATATGCAGTGCAGGACCATCAAAACTCCATTTTATAATGAAAATGATAGAAACATAGAAAAAAAAATCGCTCAATAAAACAGGAGGCATGTTAATGGAAAACAATTCTCCCGTCATGTAAGAAAAAAAAATTGGTTGCTTGCAGTTTTTAATATTAATGGCAATTAGAGTATACATTTTTAATATTTCAAATGCTAAAGCAAATAGATGAGTGTTAAATTTTTAACGAAACGTTTCTTGTGTCCTGTTTGCTGCAATTATCTGGCATACCTCAAGATTTTGAGTGGAAAATAAGGATAGTAGTTGTATTTTATGCAGCATTATTTTAGAAGCTGAAATACAAAATAGAGCATTTTCATTTACAATTTTTAAATAAGATACAGTTTACATTATCTGGAGGCAATGCAACTCCAAATATTTTACTGTCCATTTAGAACGTGCATGGACTTTATTACTGCGCTCTGTTTATGCCTTCACTGCAGCTATTTGTGAACTACTGTGTCTGGCAAATTGATAATTGTAGATAAGAAGAGTTAGCTCCGGCTGATTGAAACAGTATGTGTTTTATGTATAGAGACCATGACTATCAGTAGCTATACAGTGCTGGCTCGTTCAACAGCATGTTTTGTGTAGAATCATACAGAAGCAATTGTAATAGTGCAGCGTACATTTAAGAAGGAGTTTGTAACAACTACAGACGATAAAAATTTCTAATCAAAAGCTAATCAGTGTATGGGTGAAGCAGTGGGAACTAGTGGAAGGGAACAAGACATACTAAACACATGGATGAGGAATGTAAATGCACAGAGCAACGTTCAGATCATTCATAAGGTCATAGGTTAGCGCCACACCGTTTTGCAAGGCGTAATTCTCAAATTTTGCAATTCACACTATGAAACCTGCACTGGATCTTAAATATGGAACCTTCATTTTCATCTATATAAATATTAACTAGTGCAAGAACTCAGCTCACTAATAGGACATTTTACATGCAGGAATGTGACACTTCACAAACATGAGATGAAAATGTTCAGTTCATTCATTCAGAGTTTAATGACTGTTGAAACAACTTACATTTGATACTATGTCCTACAGAACCCCAAGACATACATGAAAGGCCGTTATATTCGTAAACGTTAGTGGTTTGATCTGATAGCGGCATGAGTGGAATAATACATTAATACATTTTTAAACGTTAATTAACCACTCAGATATAGTAAACTGAAAACGATATTCTGACATGGTGCGAGAGTCCTGAATCTGCTGACGATTATGGAACTCATAAGACGAGGCCACTGCCCACACTTACCGTTTCAGCATCAACGCATCATGAGACTTAATTCAAGGCAACATCATTTAGAGTTTTGGCATCATTCAATGGTCTGCCAAATATCCCGATCTAAGTGCTTGGTTAGTGCATCAGCATATGCCCTGTGCAAGTGGTCAGCTTGTCGCAAGATCCCTGGTGTTTTGTCTCCAAGCGAACTTGGTACTCATTTTATCGACCCAGTCAAGTGACGAAAAGCTGAGTCAACCTTGCCCAGCGGGGGGGGGGGGGGGATCGAATCCCGGACCTGTGGTGTGGTGAAGCTGCGAGACGTGCTATACGCTAAACTTAGAGTTAGGGAGACACAACAATGGAGAACCTATACTCATCTCAGCCGGAGGTCGACTGAATGTAAGTTGTTCTCGTCGCTACTAGATGGCGTTCGATAAAATAGTTCGGTTACAGCCAAATAGTTGTGCTACGTTCCTGCATTTGTCTCTTCAAATATGTACCTGATTTTCCTAAATTACCTGATTTTAAATGAAGTCATGTAAGCATGAGCGTTTTTGTTATTCAAATATGAACAACACATAGTGTTGTGGCCTCTGTATCTATATTGTTTCCTTTAAGACTTCAAGAATTTACTTCAGGAACAGAAGAAACGAATTGTATATTTAGAGGCATATTCTTTAAGAACCGGAATACGTCAGCTAAGCAAAGTCTCAGCAAATAGTGGGAGTTGGAGCTGGAACAGTGACCATTCGTGACGAGGAGGAGACGGCACGACTATTGCATCTATCTAAGACCAATCCTACAGATTTAAGTTTCTTGCGGATTCGGAGTGCGTTAGGGTTAGTGCGTATTTGTGCATTTTGATTATGAATTCTGATGATCGTCGGAGAATTAGCTCGGGAAATGATTGTGTGATTTGAGTCATTATTCTTTATGTATTGTGGATTTTTTCGACTTGAAGTTTGACTGAACTGTCGTTTTTGTCTATGGATATTGCCAGTGTTGATGACATTCAGACATGGAATTGGCCTCGAGTATTTTTAGCAGCACATCAAGAAAAATTGCATTAAAGAACTCCTTAAAAGAAAGGGGTTCTGGACAAAGAATGAAGCATTAATTTCTTCGAAACGATGTAACAAAGAGGCCCTTAGGGATAAAGTTACAGAAGTACACAAAACACACGATGAGCTTAAAAAAGCTCGAATGAACGAATTCAAGTTTAATTTTATAATATTCTCCTCAACGTAAAGGACAAATGAGAGGATAGGACCCACTTGCCGTATCTTGGTAGTGACTGGTGGTCCACGACATTTTTAATTCGTTAAAATGCCACTTTCAATTCTCTTTCAAATTCACTTAAGTCCAGCCTTATTTATTATTAAATGCCCTTAGAGGCATATTAGGTATATAGAAGCAAGAAACATAAAATATCAACGATGCCTTCAGAACTTCATGGTGTAACTGTAAGCACGCCTGATACCAATCAGGCGTGCTTCCAGTTACACCATGAAGGCATGCATTAAGGAGAGAGAAAATAACTTTATTAATTGTGAAACCAATTTTTTAAATAATTAACATCAATAATCATCATAACATTCGCAAAATTCCTATGCTCTTATCTCAAAATCTCAGAATTTTCTGTAATATAATGATTTCACATGGTTCTTTAACTGTTCGTGTTTTTAGTATAAAGCACGGTAACTTGAAGCTATTGCCTCATGCTTTGAAAAACATTGATTCAGTTTTAATTTCCAAAAATTTAACTTTTCAGATGCGCCTGTGTGCCGTAACGGATTGCAAAAGACATATGCAGTTCCTGCAGATGAAATGGAGCGCATCGAATGCCAAGTGGAAGCTGATCCTACCAATGTGGATTTCAAGTGGAGTTTTAGTAACACTGCTGATCGCCATTACAACGTTTCGTACACTAGTGCAGGGCTAAGAAGCGTCGCTAGCTACACTCCACGTTCTGCTAGGGATTATGGAACTCTATACTGTTGGGGAAAAAATTCAGTAGGTGAACAACAGATGCCATGTATATTTACAATAATTCCTATTGGTAAGTATTATTTGTATAGATAGTAAATTTTATCATATGAGATATTTAATTAGTAGATAAGATTACATTTTAGATAGTTATACTAATTTTGCCTAATGCTCATTATTCAAATGCATAAAAATGCAAAATTAATCTAATACGAACTTCAGTTTCACGAATAATCATATCTGTATAATTATATGTAGTGAAATACAGTTTCACCGCTTAAATGCATAGTAGTTATGACGAGTTCTCAATCGAAATATGGCGCATGTACGTCTCCAATAAAAAATAGTATTTATGTAATCTCGTGGAGGAAACATGTTCATTGAAAGAAAAACCTGACCTAAGAACCAATGGCTTACTAGCTTATTACGCAGACGACACTACAATCGCAGTCAAGTGACTTAACGCCGACCATGCTATCAAACAGCTCCGAAACTACTCAAATAACATTGAAGATCAGTAAGCTAATTGAAAACTGAGCATCAATCCTGACAAGTAATCATCAAGCCCCGCCACAAAAAGAAAGGAAAAGCTACCACACAACCCAAGGTTTTCAACGTAACCATTCCGATAATAAGTAAAGCAAAATGACTTATCAGCTTCATTAATGGAAAACGTAACTGAAACAACCACATCAGTAGAATCTTCAGCAACGCCTATGGCATACATTAAACTTCCTCAAGCCTCTACTCAGCAGTGATTACAGAGATTTTCGAATTGTAGAATACTTAATAGGTCGAAATGACTTTTACATCTATGCCTTATTCATACATATGTATCTATATGCTAAAAAAGTATTAAGAATAAAATTTGTTTCTTAGGCAAAGCTCTCTGAAATAAAAGAACTGAACAATTTAAACCAAACCAAATACATATATCGCATTTAAATAAATATAATTTTTAAATGTTTAATTTATAAATTAGTAAGTACAAAAATTCATGTATAATTAATGACGATCTTTTTTTAATGTATTTCAGGGCCTCCAGAAACTCTTCAGAACTGCACATCTACTAATGTCACTATGTCCTCTGTGACGATAATTTGCATACGAGGTCCTAGGCAAGACCCGGATCTCAAGTACAATTTAGAAATGTACATGTATCACAGTCACGAAATGCTTTATCAAACCAGCAGCGTCACTCCTTATTTTGTTATATCTAATTTACCGACAGATTCTGAATTCTTATTCGTTGTCTATGCTGTAAATCATAACGGAAAAAGTTCTCCGGTGATGGTTAGAGTATGGACACTGCGCTCTCCAATGGAAGAAAGAGGTATTTCATTACAGTGTGCTTTGATGCGTAAAAAATTTTTAAACTGTTTAACGAAGTACGTCTGATATTCACATAATAGTTGCCAAAATAAATTAAAATTAACAGTAGTTTTCCGTTCAAAGATTGTAGCACATTAAGACGGTTTCAAAAGTGTGTTATCAAAAGGACATCAAAAGAATAATTTTTTAATTAAACTTCATTATACAAATGAGTCTAAAAAACAGTTTCTAATTTACTTCCTTAAATATTGGTTATATATTTGTACTTTCGAGCATTTTTATGATTATAGTTCCAGTGCTTTAGGTGCAGAGTCTCTAAAAACAGAATTTCTGTAAGAAAGTTTCAGGGAGGAGTGTCATCCGTAGTGTCGAAATTGTTGTTCATTACCCCCTAATCAGCAAAAAAAAAAAAAAAAAAAAAAATTTTTTTTTCATCTTTTATGGCATTCAAGTAGATCTTCAAAATCGAATTTACTAACTGAGTAATTTTGATATACGTATCATTGAAATAATCCGGGAAAAAAACTAATTTACGGAGCACCTAAGAAGTAAAGACTTGAGATGCCATCTTCGGTAATATAATATTTACTATTATATCGATGTTTAGCAATATTTAGAAAATATTAGTAAGAATATCTTTGTGAATTTCGCCCTTAAAGATATGGAAACGTTTTTAATTAATAAAGCCTAATATTTTGTAAAACAGCAAAATTTTCCTATGGGGGTCATATGAAATTTTAAATATTGGGAAAGTATAAAATGTAAAAGACTTAAAATTGTAAAATGTTCGAAATAAACACTGAAATTAGAGCGTTCTACAATGTGTATTTTATTATTGAAATTAAATGATGTTACTGATAATGTTGCTAATGCAGTAACGAAAATTAACAGATATTTACTAGCAACAAGAAAGAGTTATTACATTCATTTCGAGTTAACGATATCGTTATGCATTATCTCAAAGTATAATTCAAATTCAAATAATTCTAATACTAATTTTCTGATTCCTAATTGTCCACGAAGGTAGGTATGACACACATGTCTAAGCGTACTCTGTCGGAATTGCCAATTAAAATTGGTCTATATAATATGAGCCACCCTATATATAAACCGCACTATTTATCTATTACTGAAAATTTTAGGCATTCATATGCAGAAAAAAACATGTCGTTTTACTATTTTCTTAATTATATTATATCTCTATTTAAATTACAAATGGGAATTTTGTACCATTCCAAAATGATCTGCTTGAATTTAATCTACAGAGAAATACTATGATCACAATTAATGTATGCGCTAATGAAATGCTCCTACTCCGAAATATTGAAAGTTCAGTTCTAGCCTACAAAATTTCTGTTTCAAAATATCTCAGCTAAGGGAATCACATGATACTTTCGGTTTCTCTGGGCATGTAAAGTGTTATGTTTACATTATTGCTCTCTAATTATATTATTAATTAAACCACTATTGTATTTCTTAACACTTCAAAGAAGTATTATATTTCCAGTGAAATCAGTTTAAGTATCAAAATAGCTTTATTAAAAAAAAAAAAAAAACTTAATTTCATGAGTACCATTCGATGTTACTTTAAATGGAGATGATAAGTAGAGTTGGAAATTGTTCTATTTATGTTACAGCCTATTAGAACATATTTATCTCACTTACTGTAAAATGTAATTAAGAAGTACTTAAAGGTAAATTTTTAGATGATTCAATTTCTTAGGTTGATGAATAAGCATCTTAAGCATCGTCGCCTTACAATAAACTCATTTTTATCTCGTTTCTGATTTTTATTTCTAATCGCTAAAATTTGGTTGCTAACTAAAAAGATGTGGTGTTTTTTCATTTATTTCAATACTTCATTTATTTCAGTCTATCGGGAACAACACGCAGATGAAGCTTTATCAGGAGAATTCTCATGGATTGGACCAAGTCTCCTCATTGCAGCTGCTCTTTGCTGCTTTTTACTATTCATGGGTGCTGCGCTGTGGACCAAGTTCAGAGGTGGTCCAGGATGCCAAAAATGTGAGTCTTAATAGTAGTTAGTGCTATGTAAATTTCTCAAGGGAACTTCAAACTTTTGTTTGCAACTCTTAAAAATAAAACAATAAATTTGAAAATTGTAACACATAAAATATATTTTGTAATAGCAAAGCAACAACTTTGTGTCTGCTGCATATCGATTTCGAGGGCAAACAGATAGAGGCCCCTCTTCATTAGGTGCAAAGAAATATGCAACTAAGGGATGTATTTGTATTCAAAATGAGTTAAACCGACGAGAATGTAACGCCATCTGTTGGCAGAAATAGTAACGAAAATTGAAAAATTAACTTGATATAATTATATAACTTAATAAAATATACTTACTTGAAATATTTTAATTTCGAGAATCCTTTTTGTATTTAGGGATGTTAATTTCGAGAATCGTTCTGGAATCATTTTGTCTCATAAAGCACCAGTTACTATCATGCAATCAGTTACTATTATATGAGATCCAGTTGAATTGCATTACTATTTTTAGACGATCGAGCTCTGAATCAAACAAAACTCATTTTATGAGTTTTATGCATGTTCTTTGTAATTTGATGCTGGGTATTAAATTTATCACTTAGAATATTCGGTTTAAGTCCAAGTTAAAGATTATATAGTCCAGTTTGATTCAGATTTATGAGTTTAATTTAGGCCAGTCTTCAAATCAAAGTATCAAAGATAACTACCGCGAGCAAAGGGTAAGTATTCAAAGCCTTTCTCCTGCATCAAGGGAATGAGAACTCTCAATACCATGTAGTGAGTAACGAGGAATTTGTTTTGGCGTTAATTACGTTTTATAGTAAAAAGTAAATTAGAACACAAACCTGAGGAGCTGTTAACTAGCGGGCAGTTGCAAACAGCTGGCCGTAATAGCTAATAGTAACTCATGATCAACAACAACGCAGCAATGAAATCCCAAAGTGATGAGCAGTTTTCTGCATCTGATAACAATCTGAATTAGTTATATGTTGGAGCTAAGAACTTAGTGCTATTTGAATTTGATTAAACAGGTTTTATACGTGCAATTGACTATGGAATTATATATGTAACTAAGCATAACCTTTCAAAACTAACAATTAAATCCGACAGCGTGTCAGACCGTTATGACCTTTTTAATATCAAACACGCTTCCCAATGGTTCAAGAAATCCTTTGAAACATCAAACCAACCTTCAGTTTTGCATTACAGTTAATTGCATAAAAGCTAACGTAGACGTCTTAGATAACAGACAAGCAAATCAACTTACATAAGAAGTGACTCAGAATATCAGGACCACTGCCTTAAAATGTAACAGTTTTACCAACCATATGAACAAAATCGAGAATAAACAATGCAAAAACGATTGGGATAATGTATCCCAAGATAGAATACTCCACAAATATTGGCAACAAGTAAAAAAAAAGATATGGAGAGTACTACCTTTTTCTCAAATCAATACTCGACTGGCATGGTGCTTTCCGGATGTATGTTTGCACAAAGAATCTCTGTTTTAATGACAACTGCATATGCAGGGAAAGAAGTGATCCAGATAATTATATTTTCAAGTGTCCGTTGACAGTTGCATATTACAGCCAAGCTCCCAGCAACACCTTATTAACTTTTAAGAGGTACCTATCTAAAACTAAGAGATGACGTTCGATGTAATGTCTCTTCTTCAGTCTTAGAATACTGAGTTGTGATATTTATAGTTATTAATCCAAAAGTTATTCACTATGCCAAATCTTGACGCTTTCCTTAGAGTTGTAAACTGCTCAGCAGCAACGAAACAATAAGCAAAATATACTCAGTTCTATGAAATTGTTATTTAAAATATCTTTGACGCTCTAACAATTTTTATGTTATTAAATTTGCTCCATTTGCAAATTTTGGTAGCATCATCTAGTAATTCAGAAACTATGTATAAGGCAGAAAGTCTTAAAATACACTCATAGATCATACACCACTCACTATCAGTACCTAGTTTCCTGTAAGTGCAATATCTTATTTCCAGGTTCAGAACCGAAGAATGTATGAACATGCAATTGTAAAAATCACAATAGAAATGCAGTCCACCAGCTAGTGTTTTGTCCTAGAGAAACAACATGGTGGGACGTTATCCAGATTTATTTGTACATATGAGATGTCGCCTCTCTCTCTGTATATATATATACAGTGGTGGCCAAAATTGTGGACACTTTTGGAAATTTTTATGTTTTTGAACTTTGTATGCTTATAGAAAATGTTATGTTTCGCAAAATGCAAACTTGCATATATCATTTTAAAGAGAATTTATTACTGAATTCAATACAAAACACAAAATTCAATTATTTGCAATTTAAAAAAAAAGTTATACGCACTTTACTATAAATAAAAAACACAGTTATGAAGTGGTTTGTAATGTCTAGCTTTCCTGGCCAATCACTGTTCTTGTTCTGAGAACCAATCAAATGTTAGTAACTGCCAGTAGAAGCTGACATCATGTTTACACTTGAAACAATTCATTATTTTGCTTTGTTCCGTAGAAGGAGGACCTGTTTCTTATACACTGCAATTACAAGTAGGAATTTTTGTAAAAATTTTTAATATTTAGTCAAGAAGTAATGACATCAAATAAAAGAGTAGATTGGAAACCTAGAAAGCGATGTAATATTATTGTGTTAGGAGAAAGTGGTTTTTCTTATGCTGAAATTGCAAGACAGATGGATGGTTCAGTGACTACAACTGGAGTCCGAAAGTTTTGTTTACGATATCCGGAGACAAATTTAATAAAAAACAAGGAAGGAAAAGGCCGAAAAAGGTGCACCACATCTATTGATGACAGAAGAATAAAAAGACTATGTCTCCAAGATGGAAAAATGTCATCAGCGGCCATAAGAAGTGCTCTGAATGATGCTGGTGTTTCTGTCAGTTCAAGAACAATCAGGAGAAGATTAACAGATGTTGGACTGAGAGGTAGAATTCCACGAGAAAAGCCTTATCTTAATTTTCAGCAACTAAAAAAAAAAAAAAAAAAAAAAAAAAAAAAAAGACTACAGTGGGCAAAGGAACACATTAATCAGTGGTCACAAGTTATATGGAGTGATGAAACTAAGATATCGTTATTCGGTAGTGATGGGCGAAAATATGTAAGACGTAGAATAGGAGAAGAGCTACATCCTGACTGCATTCAAACAACTGTGAAGAACACAGTTAGTAGACTAGAAGAGAAATACCCTAATGTGACAATCAAAGTCGTAAAGGGTTATAAGGGACACGCTCAAACGTTTATCTAAAATTGAATTTGAATTATATTACCTCCATTTAAAAATTGCTAATTCAACTGAAAATTTTTCCTCATTTGAACATACATCCTGGTCTAGAACCGATACCGTTTGTCAACGGCATAAAAATGTGCTTATTTCTAAATCCTTTAAACTCACACACCAGTCGGATAGTCCCACCTATCTAGCTGATCTTCCCACTGTAAACGTTAACCCCATCGTTAAAATCTCCAATGGGAATCTTTCGGAGGATCAGTTAAAAGTATTAAAGTATAATTTCAACTTTTCAAAACATGTAAACCTTCAATTCCTCAAATCATCGCCCCTATAGAGAAAGCCTTTAAATTCTCCAAAATTTCGGAAACGCAGAAGGATACAATCCGCCACCTAATTACTCATAACGTTAATTTTAACAACAAATCTTTGGGTTTGAATCTTAGCAAAAAGGAAAATGAGATCTTACGTGAAATTCATTCTGATACTAATATCATTATCTCTAAAGCTGATAAGGGCGGACAGTTGTTATGGACAAACACACATATATTACTGGAGTCTCTAAACTTATAAATGAAGGCCTACTGCTCGATCCCTAAAGATCCTTCAACTTCGGACCTCACGTAAGTTAAAAGTGCTATTAAATCTTCCCACATTCTGCCAACTCAGTTGAAGAAAATCACTTATTCCACATATTACTAATTGCGCTAGGCTTTATGCTCTTCCAAAAGTCCACAAAACCGGTATTCCTTTTCGACCAATTGTTTCCAACATAGGTACTACTTCATATCCTTTGGCCAAATATTTAATTTCCAGATTTTCTCCTCTACTTGCTAACCATATTCACACTGTAAAAAATTCTGTTGAAGTCATTGATAAACTTAAAAATATTTCTCCACTTCGATCCATTATGGTTTCATTTGATGTCAAATAACTGTTTACTAAGAAGTAAAGAGCACTCGGTCGAAGGAGCACTAAATTGTCTTGAAACTAGGCTTCGGGAATTTCACTTCACACATACTGAAATTAATGAGTTGGTTTCGCTTACTAAAGTTTCTCTGAGTCAAACCCACATTGTTTTCCAAAATGCATATTTTTGTCAAGTTGAAGGATTGGCTATGGGTAATCCTCTCAGTACGGTACTCGCTGACATTTATATGCACTATATTGAGATAAAATTATTTGATAAACTATCTTTTCGTCTTTGGATTCGGTATGTTGACGATACTTTCGCACTTTTTGACGGTTATAAAGAGGATTTATCTGAGATTCTATCTATTATGAATTCAATTGATCCAGCCATCCAATTCACTCTTGAAATTGAATCCAACAATTCCCTCCCCTTCCTTGATATTCTTATACTCCGCAATGAAACTGATTTTAGCACCACTGTGTACCGTAAATCCTTTGCAGTCTGTTTACCACCCCATGCCAAGTCATGCCACCCTGTTAAGTAAAAAATGGCTTCTTTTTACTATTATGTATTCCGCGCGCTTAAAGTTTGTTCCTCTGAATCTTTGCTTACCAATGAACTTAATTATTTGAGAGCAGCAGTTGCGATTGACCGCGGATTTCCTCCCGTGATTATTGATAAAGCTGTTAAAAAATTTTCATATTCCATCAAAGAAGACATTCCACTGTTAGAAATAATATTAATGACATTGTCGTGCTTCCATTTTATCCTTCTGTTAGCTATAAAATTGCACGGATTCTCCAGAAATTTAATTTTCAAGTCGGTTTCTCCCCTATTAATAAAATTCA